GGGCCCAGCGCGCAGACCTCCGGGGGCCGTGACGGCCCCGACCACGGGCCCGGGGCCAGAACAGGCAGCGCCGCCGCCTCGCCCTCTTCTCCCCGGCCCCGGCTACTCACGTGCCAGATGGCGAAGAAGATGAGCGCGGCGGTGAGCAGCAGCGCCAGCATGTAGCAGAAGGCCGCGAACGTGAACGCCATGGCCGGGGAGGAGCAGGGAGCAGCGCCGGTGCCAGCGGAGAAAGGCGGCGCACGGCCCTCTGGGTAAAACCATTCACTTCCCCAGGCCACAGCCGCGACCGCCGCCTCCGCCGCGGCTGCCGCGGCGCTCGCCCTCCCAGCGCGGCTGCGCACTGGCCCCACCGCCGCGGCTCCCGCCCTCCTAGCGCGCCTGCGCACCAGCCCCGCCGCGCCGGCGCCCGCCCTCCCAGCGCGCCTGCGCACCAACCTTGGCGCCTTTCGATGGCGGATTGCCGCATCACACTTCCGTGGTCCGTGCAAGTGAGAAATTTTTCTTTCCTTCTCGCGTTTATTCCTTGAACAAACACTATATTTATTGAAAGAGTGCCTAATGTGTTTCAAACATTACGCTTCTCCCTTCGGATACAAAGACAAATTAGATAGTGCTTGCTCTGAGAGACGGTGCGAGGAACGAACACCTGAGTCGGCAATTACAGAGCCCAACCCTGCAGACGTCCTGGGTGCAGGGAGGTGGGCGGGGCCCAGCGGTCAGGGCTGGGTGCGGGAGGTGGGTGGGGCCCAGCGGTCAGGGCTGAGTGCGGGAGGTGGTCTGCGGGGCCCAGCCCGCTGGGCGGTCAGGGCTCCTGCAGGCTGGCCCGTGAGCCTGACCTGAGAAGTTAGAACCCGCAGTCCAAGGAAGCGGGACGAAGAAAATAAAGAGGGCTTGTTGTCTTAGGAGAAACCAGCAGCACTTTTGTATTGGATAGAATTGAGCGATAGAAAGGCGCTGGCAAGGGGTCAGATCATAGAGGCCTTGTATGCTTAGTTAAGGAGAGTCTATTGCATAAGCCCAAGTTTTTCCAGTTTCTTGTTCACCACGCACAATTAGAAACCCTTTTTCATTGTAACCCAGTGGAACATCATGTAGACAGCAAGTTATAGAGAGACTCTAGATTAGAGACAGATACAAATATAGCTGAAACAAAAACTTCACACAGGTGCCGTGAGTACTTGCCCTTCTATTCTTTTCTGCTGTTTTGTTTTGTGAGCTGGTTGAAACTGCAAAATTGGTTGACCACCTATTAACTGATTGCCACTGATAGAAGTGGAACTCATTGAAGGCTTTTAAGCAAGAGAAGGACATGTTTAGATTGGCGTTAAAGGTCGGTCCTACTAGCAGATTGTGAGGAATGTTTCAGGCACAGGGTCTGTCCAGTGCTGTGCAGAATTTTCTGTAATGCTGGACATTTTGACCTGTGCTGCCCAGGACAGTAGCCAATAAGCACACGTGGCTATTGAGTGCTTGCAGTGTCTAGTATAACTGAGGAATTGAACGTTAGAGTTTACATCATTTTAATTAATTAAAATGTAAATAGCCACTCATGGCTAGTAGCTTCTGTATTGAGAAGCTGGGCTCTACCACCAGGATCATGTGGCACCTTTACAGATCGCACGTGTACTTTCTCCAGATAGGCAGAGGCTCAGTTGGGAAGTCTGTGCTCTGCCAGGCCAATGTTAGCCCCACATTGAGTGCCCAGCATCACTGCCACCTGGGTGGGCGATGGGTGAGGTGCCACCAACTGTCAGGTGGCAGAAACCTGAGCTGAGTGTCCAGGCAAGTCTGGAGTTTGGGACACTGTATTTGTTCCCAAGCTTGTTCTTGGATTTCTTGAGCTCAAGAGTTCAAGACCAGCCTGAGCAAAAGGGAGACCCTGTCTCTACTAAAAAATGAAAACTAAGGCAAAAGGATTGCTTGAGCCCAAGAGTTCGAGGTCACCATGGCACTCTACTGAGGGCAACAAGGTGAGTTGCCCTCAAAAAAAAAAAAAAAAAAAAAGTCAAAAGAAGAGTATACTTACTGTGCTTTGAAGTTCGTTTGAAAATAATTTAATTACTGATCTTTAAAATTTTTTACAGCATACCTAAGACATGCTGCTCTCTAATTTCCATTAGGGGAAAGCTGACTGTTGGATCTGGGGGAGGTGGGTCAGATGAGGCTGGGGCTGAGCCAGGTGCCACCATTCCATGAGGTCAGCTGGGCAGAGAGAGGAAGGAATTGCAGCCCTTGCACAAACAGCCCTTGCAGGCCTTTAAGAGACCCTATGGAATGCCAGTGACCCAGAACCCAGGAGCTCTGAGTGACCAGCACATATTGTATTCCATTATAACGCCATGTTTTTATGGTAATGGCATCATCTCAGGTCTAAGATCACCTGTCAAAGGAGCTTAGTCTGTTCTGCTATAATAACACCACAGCCTAGGTAGTTAACAAACAGTAGAAATTTGTTTCTCACAGTTCTAGAAGCTGAGAAGTCCAAGATCAAGGTGCCAGCAGGATTGGTGTCCAGCAAGGACTGTTCTCTGCTTCCCAGATGGAGCCTCCTTGCTCCACCGTCCACAGAGGGAAGGAAGGGCAAAGTTCCTGTCCAGTTCCCTGTCTAGCCTTTTATAAGGCGCTCAACCATTCAGGAGAGCAGAGCCTTCACCACTTAGTCATTTCCCAAGAAGCCCCACTTCCTAACACCACCACAAAGGAGGTTCAGTCTCAATGAATTTTGAGGAAACACATTCAAACCATAGCTCAGGCTTAGCAAAGGCAGCTGGCAGCCAGCAGCTTGCCAGGCATGTCAGAGGGTGATACAAGCTTCCATAAAGATTCTGAATCTGAATTTTGCACACTTAATAGAATCAAACCCTGACTATGAAAAGTAAAGGCATAAAAAGGTTTGTGAAAACTCCAGCCCAGTAAATGATGGGACTATTTAGAACCTTCTAGAAGATCCCCGGGAGCTGCAAATAGTAGAATGGAGCTACCACCTAAACAGTCCCCCAGCCACATGAGTTATCACCAGTCCTTCACTAAGGAAGGGCCCGACATTGACACGGAAACAGTGGTGAGGAAGTGTCACGGGAGGGTCAACAAAGCAGGGCTGGAAGTCACTGCCCTGCACTCAAAATCTCAAAATGTCACTTTCTGAGAAATGCAGATGATAATTACACCTACCTCATCAAGTTGTGGTAAGAATTCAATGAGGTGTGACACACTCCCCTCAGATAAACAAAAGTGGCAATAACCCAACATGCTTGACAAAAGAAAACTTCAATGCAAGAGAAAAGAGGAAGAGGTGAGACTCTGAGCCTAAGTGAAAAAAATTTACATTTAAGAGAAAGGCGTTTATACACATCCAGAAAGAAACCTGAGGTCAACTTTGTGCAGGGCAGTATTGCAGCCAAGGAGGTTTATCCAAGGTATGATTATTGCTAATTGAAAACTTCCCAAGAAATCTGAGGTCATGTTCAGACTGCGAAGTTAATTACGTTAGAAAGCCTTGCCCAACTTGTAGCTTCTTCTGTGGAAGACCAACCAAGCAGCCGTAAGATCCTGTCACAGCTGATTGGACCAGGGCTGTGGTGAGGCCCATGCATCAAGTCACCAGTCACTCAGGATCCAAGGAGTGGATCCCTGGCTCTGCCTCACCAGATACACCTGCCTGATGCAGCCCCAAGCCAACCACACAGATTCCTTGTCTCCAGGGAATTCATGTGAGACACACAAGAACTCTCAGCGAACAAGAGCAAGGCCATGATGGGGAGACACTCGAAGAGAAAGTGGTCAGCATAACCCAGGGTACCCAGGACCCAGAGCAAGCTGGAATCAAAAATAGTAAGTTGGATCGGCGCCTGTGGCTCAAGTAGCTAAGGCGCCAGCCACATACACCTAAGGTGGCAGGTTCAAATCCCCAGCCCGGGCCCGCCAAACAACAATGATGGCTGCAACCAAAAAATAGTGGGGCATGTGGCAGGTGCCTGTAGTCCCAGCTACTTGGGAGGCAGAGGCAGGAGACTCGCTTGAGCCCAGGAGTTGGAGGTTGCTGTGAACTGTGATGCCACAGCACTCTACCCAGGGAGACAGCTTGAGGCTCTGTCTCAAAAAAAAAAAAATAGTAAGTTATGAATGCATCAAAACCACACTTAAGCAGAAGCAGGCACTTCCCCCATGGAACTTGCACTCCTTCTTCTACTAAGACAGTGGGAAGCTCTTCAGAATCAGTTCAAAAGTTCCATGTTTCTTTGGTCCATTTGGGCAGCTGTAACGACAGACTGGTGGCTTATAAACAGTGTTTCTATCTCACAGTTAGAGGCTGGGAGTGCAAGGTCAGGAGCTGGTAGATTCAGGGTCTGGTGAGGGCCCAATTTCTGATTCATAGGTGAAGGCTTCTAGCTGCGTCTTCACATGGCAGAAGGGCTATTTCTTAAGGGCACTTGTGGGGGCTCCACCCTCATAATCTAATGGCCCCAGCTCCTAATACCATCACCTTAGGGTAGTATTTCAACAAGCTAAGACAGAAATTGATATGAGAAGTGGGGTGTTACTATAATAAATGCCTAAAAATCTAGAACAGTCTTTAAATTGGGCAGTGAATAAAAGCTGCAAGAGTTTTGAGGTGCACGGCCATGAACAGAGACTTACAGGTGATCCTGGTGAGGGCTCAGGAGGAGAGAAGAGTTGTTAGGAAAGCTTCCATCATCTTAGAGATGACCTGAGTGGTTGTGATCAGGAAGTTAGCAGAAATTTAGACAGTAACAGGCATTCTGATGAGGTCTCAGGCAGAAAGGAGAAGCATGTTACTAAAACTGGAAGAAAAGCCCTCCTTTTTGTAACATGGCAAAGAACTTGGCTGGACTGTGTTCATGTCCTGGTGTTTTGTGGAAAGGAGAACTTAGGAATGGTGACACAGGACATGTGGCAGAAGAAATCTCAGAGCAAAGTGTTGAAGGACAACATGGCTTCACTTGATGGTTTTTGGTAAAATGAAAGAAGTGATTTAAAGATAGAATTTATCATTGAAAGAGAAGCAGACCTTAAAGATTTGGACATTTCTCAGCCTGGCCATGTTGTAAAGAATGAAAAAGCACAAATGGGAACAATAAAGGCATGGCCACACCAACGTGTGATGAGGAGACTAGCAAGGGAAGATGGAAGCCAGATTCTTTTCATGGAGCTAATGGGAGAGTAACGCTGGGAGCATTTTGGAGAACTTCAAGGTTACCCTGCCCATCACCTAATCCAGAGTGCCAGGGCCATGGGGGCAAAACAGTTCCAAGACTCTGTTCCCCACATCCTGGCACAGCCCTACTTGGTAATCCCAGCGG